GGTCTGTGAATGTTATCTATTGTCTGTCTACCTGTAGTTTCATACAATTTTGATAGTTGCATCTGGGAATTGCACATGTCTTTTGACTGTGTTAGATACCAAGCTTCTCCTCACCTCTAGAAAGTAAAGATAGATTGTAGTTATAAGAGATTAACTTTTAAAGTACTTCTCTCCAGGAAGCTTTAAGTTCGAACACCATTCATTGTCCAAACCACTTAACAAGATTCAGAGAGCCCTATATGTCTATCCATTTTTCATACAAGCCAGTGGACAACAAGATGATCAGTTGCTTTTGCACATGCGTATCTAAGCCTGTCATCAGTTCCTACTGTGCTCAGGGTAATGCATCAGTAAGTAACGTGTTTAGCACTTCCTTAAAAAAAAAGTAAGAATGTACCATTCACCTCTCCAGATATAGATTAGTATTTTGTCACTGAACTTACCATTCTCAGAAGAATATATTAAATTCTCAACTATCTCATCTATTTGTAGTCATACACATCACTGCACTAGCCCAGCTTCTTTTATTGAGAAATAAAAGCTGCTGAATTCAGGTTCACACTCAAAAACATACTTATATTCCCTCAATGCGAGCACTAAAATGCTCAAAGTGCAAGACAAGACAGCCACAAGCATGTGCCTCTACATGAATGGTCGAGGACAGATTTTCCCTGGTAAAAGTAAACAAGAGTTTAATGTGACACAGAAACCACAGAGTAGTTTGCAGCTAATGCTATGGTCAAATACTCTGTTCTTAGTATGCCCAGATTATTAAAACCTTTCACGTAGCAAAAAGTGCCAAGATCTGCAAAAATGTATTATAGTGACATTTCAAACATGTATGGAGCTACTGTTCAGAAAACAGCAGCTACAACAGGTTTCATGCCAAGATTTCCAAATTTCTGGCCTCCATCTCTCCTCTTTCCCCCTTATGGGCTCAGGACACTTAAAACATGGTACCACAGTGAGTGCCGCACTGCTACATGAACTCCTTGGTACTGCCAAACCTTTAGTGGCTGAGTCATGAATATGCCATAAGGATTATGCCAAAATCAGCATTTAGGCACCAAAGGACTCCTGATACCTATTTTGTTTTGGTTATGGGTAAGAGCTTTGTAATGCAAAAACACACGAATGCTTGGCTTATATAAAACAGAAATGTTTAATCTCTCCCTTCCTTCCATGAGATTCTTTGTAAAAACTGGTGTTGAACTGCACATATATAAAAATAATCTCTCGTGCCTCTTTAGGTCAATGCCAACCCCTTGAATTGCACTTGGAACTAACGAGCAGCATGGTCAGATCAGGGAGTAAAGATGTGACCCTGCTGAGGGATCATCAGCTCTGGCATTAACTGCCACCTGTCAGACCTATTAGCCTCTCTTCATGCCTCAGATTAAGTGTAACTGCTTACCTTGCCAGGTAACAGCTGAAAGTCCCAGTGACAGAGACATAAGATGCACCAAGGACCTGCTCCCTGGGCTGGTGGGTGAACAGAATAGCTGGGCGAGTGTGTTTGGTTTGTGTGTCAAGGTTTTGGTAGCAGGGTGCCCAGAGGGATGGCTTTGTGAGAAGCCTATGTCCAACAGAACCAATGCCAGCTTGCTCCAAGATGAATCTGTTGCCGGTCAAGGCTACCACCAGTGATGGCAGTAGTGGCTTGGTGATAACATAGTTAAAAAGTGGGGGAGACCACTGTGCATCAGCAACTACAGCCAGAGAGGAGTAAGAATATGTGAAACAGGTTGGATGGGGCTTTGAGCAACTTCATCTACTGTGAGGTGTTCCTGCCCATGTCAGGGGGTTGGAGCCAGATGATCTTTAAGGTCCCTTCCAATCCAAACCATGCTGAGTCTATGATTAACCACAGTATTAGGTTGTAGAAGTCAAAGACAGTGCTCAAGTTATGGGGCTGAATGACTGGAAATGTAGAGGTCTTACCGCTAGTGACAAAAAAGGGAGGTGAAAAAATCTTAAAAAAGGTTGAGAGTTATGACTCAGCCATCAGCACAAGAGCTGAGCCCAAGACTACAATGTGGACAGCAGGAGGTAGGGCATTTTTGAGATGCAGCAACAAGGAGACAGGAGTGGGATCTGCATACATGGACCAAGACAGAAGAAACAAAGGTTGGGGCAAAGAGAAAGTTCTCAAATACTCCCTTATCCGTAGAAATGTAACTTGGGGTGTGAAAAAGAAGTTTGAGTCTTTATTTTTAAAGGTACCTGCGTGGGCTTGCCTTTTCCCATTGCCCTATCTGGAGATTCTGCCTCTCACAAAATCGAGTGTCACAGAAGCAGGTTTGTGTTGCATATTTCACACAATTCACTCCCATCGAGACCATGGTGACACGTTGCACACTGTGCGGCAGTATCTGATTTGTCAATGCTAATCTCAGAGGAGACAACTGGCTCCCCCAGCCACAGAAAACAGCAGCAGCACCACAGCCCCCAATTGAAACAACTGTGAAATGTGTAGAAGAGATTAAGCTGCTCACACCTTGGGTTTCCTCCTAAAGTCTGATGGCATCCAATGGGGCAGATACTTCACAAAAACACAACAGCAAAGCTGTAACATTACCAAATCCTGACATGATGAAAGCATCTACTGCAAAGGAATAGGACAACTAAAAAGGAGAAAACAACTGCTCATTATATCCAAAACCCTTGATTGCCCAGTTCATGACACATTTTGTAGTGTGAAATTTAAAAATGCAATCACAAACAGTTGGGTACCTTCCTTCAACACGTTGTCATCCTACATAAACACCACTGTGGAAAGAAACATACACATCGAGTTCAAACCAAGAGCCTGCAAAATAGGAGAGCTTTAGCTACTAGAAAGAAACCATTTCCAAAGTCTACACTGCCCTCCAGCGTACAACAGTATTACCTCCAACAGTTGCAACCTATTTCAAAAATTCAGACTAACTGTGGTGTCCCAGATAATGAAGGAACAGGGATAAAAATCCCTGCATTAGGGAACAGAACAAAGAGACAGCTCAGACCCAGGCCAGTATGGTCAGCAATGAGCAGAAGCCAACCACTGCCACTGGTCTCCAGCTAGGAAAGATCTTTTTCATGGAAAAGATTGTGCTGGTTCCCTAGCACCAGAAGCCAGGAGAGTTTATTAATTTGGGAGGTTCTGCAGCACTCCTTGTCACAGGCAAATTGCAAAGCACCCTCTGAGCGGGCTCTGCATCCCTGCCACAGAAGTCAGAGAAACTTTTTCAAGACAACACGGATTGGCCATAGACGACTGACAGCTTTAACCAGCAGTGATTTCTTCCAACTGAAGTTTCTTCTGAACGAGATGACTCCCACATGCTCCTGCTGA